TTATAACATTTCGAAGATCACCAGCAAGTTGACCCATCATCTTCTCCGCCGTGCGTATTTTGTGCATCCGATCAAACCTCTCTGTGGATGTTGTTCTCAGGATAGGTAGTCAAATTTGCATTGATGGCCACATGCGAGCTTGCGTCGATCGGGTCTGCAACTGGAACTCCGTTGAGGTCGACGGGGGGCACCTCGTTACCGAGTGCTACATTGTTATTCTCGCCATGGTGGCCGGATTCAGCATCCATATTTAGAGAGGCAGCCTGGGAGTTCGACATTTCAAAATTTTACCTGAAATCAAAGATACTCCAAAGAACAAGTATAAAATAGGGCGTGTTATAGAAGTTTGTATCAAATAGCCACTATTATCCTTAGCCCCATGGAGGACGCCAAACTGTTTACCCTCAAAATAGGATAACATGAATTTGTAAGTGATTTTAAAGTTAGGCGGATTAATTTGACACAAAGCTATGAATTGGATTAGATTGAATGAGTAAAGATAAAATTAAATTCAATCCATACGAATAGGACAGATTCAGCCTTGGTGAAATGTTTACCCTCGATCCGGGCTCACTATAGCAAACTGATGAACAAGAGGAAAAGGCTAAATAACAGAGAAAATGATAATATATTGCTTTGGAGTACGTGATACAATGTGTTTCATGAATTATTAGATCCCCTTTATATAGTAGGGGAGTCCTACCTTAGGTACAACTTTATAAAAGGTAAAATATCTTCTGATTAACTGATTGCCGGCTCCTTATCGATACTTGCCGAGATCCCCGCCATGATATCCGGCCGGTCACGGATATTTCGGCCTTCCGTTGGCTATGCTTGATTGTCCGATAATGTTTCTCGAAATCGTTCGAGGTGAAGACCAATCCGGAACTACGACCCCGATATTCTCGGGGGCAGGCATCATGCTCACGGATTCCGACTCAACGGGACTTTCGCCTCGATGTCGGCCCCTTGTCATCATGTCTCGAACCTGGCTTATATTGTCGGAGGCCGGAGTGCACCATGAGCTCGATTTTACCCGTATATACCTTTTTTTTTCCTTTTCTTTTTTGCGTTAATAAGGAATCATTTTGAGGATTTGATATTTGTCTGAACCTGACACTTCATTAGCTGACATAATTTGTGGCCTAAGTTTAATATAATAAATATATCGTGTTTTACTTTATCCAGTGAGAGAACAACAGACGAACAGGCATATAGTAAAACATTTTTATTGTTGTCGATCTTTTAGGTGGTGGACTGATCACCTTTCTAGAGCAATTGCTATGTTGAAATTGGCTGGAGAAGACAAGGTTGCTGATGTTTATTTTAGTAATACAGGAATCTGGGGGCTCACTTGGGTGACTCCTATATTGCGAGATTTGACAGAAATACTAGCCTGGTCGATCAACAAGGCTGCATTTAGACCCCACTCCAAGTCAAGAATTGTTTACAGATATATATAACTTCATATCATGCACACTTATCTTGTAGATAGTAGATTTTTTTGCCACTACCAAAGCCAACCAGTGACCCATTCAGAATTTAAACGAAGGGTATACGTTCTGAATTGAGACAAAAAAGTTTGAAATATATATTTAATTCTGTCTATTTATACTTATTTTTTGCACATATATATTAAGAAATTCACTAAATTAAACTTAAAACTCATTTACTAACACCTAATATTGCTATCTTAAAATTTAGTATATATATATATATATATAAAGTTTGGATTAAAGTCACTGGGCTTGACCGAACCCGTAGCTTACCTACAAGCGATACATGATCAACTTTGGCTTTCCATGTATCACACCTAGTGGTGGGAAATTGGATAGAAAAAACAGTTATCTACCCATATTATCCACTAAAACTGGGTTGGATAATGAACATTTTAAAAACGGGTCAAATATGTATAAGAACTATATTATCCACTTAGAAAATAAATAATCAAGGGATAACTAATGTGTTTAACTTTTATATTTGTAAAGACTCAAATTGGGGGTTCCCTGAAGCTTTGAAAAACAAAGAATTCTCGCAAGAGTGATCATATTAAAAAAACGATGGATAATATGAGTAACCATATTATCCGCTGGTTAACCTATTTTCTATCCGTATTAAATGTGAGTCGAGTTGAATAATTTATCCAATTTTATATTACCCGTTTTGACCTGCCCATATTTGACCCGACCGTGGTTTGCCACCCCATTCACACCTATCAAAGTTTACTAGCATTACAAAAAAACTAAATGATGACAATGGAAAAAAATGGATAACTTAACGTGGTAATGGCAGTATTAGTTTGTCATCGACTCATCAACGATAAAAGCAATCGTGACAATATTTTGATATTTGATATTTGATATTTGTAGGAAGTAAGAACATAGTTTTGACTCTACAAAATTTGGTGTTTGACATAGGTTAGTAGATGATATATACAAAGCGGATACTGAGAATGGTCCCTCCATAGCATCAAGTGATTATTAATTAGCAATTCTTGCCGTTAAGAAGCCCTGATTTGATAAGAAATGTGATACGAAAAAGACAGGGGAAAAACAAACCTCTGTTGGCATGGGACTAAAAATATTAGGCAAGTAATATAATGAAAAAATAATATTGTATAGTCGCTCTCAAAATAATAGCCGAAAAAATGTATATTTTTTATATGTATTTTAAATTTATATAAATTTTGTATGTTATATCAAATTTTATATACTTTTTAGACTATCGAATGGAAATAGTTTCTAACGCGGGCTAAAAGTGATAACACCACAAAATAATTACATCCACTAGCTAATATAAAAAATAATTATGGATAAAATATACATATTTTTGTTTATTATATATAAAATATACATATTTCTGATAATTATTTATTTAGAATGATTATACTATGTTGTTTTTCCAAAAATATATGCTCCAAGTTTCTCTTTGTGATAAAATGGAGAGAGGAATTGATAGTTATTGAATCCCTTAGAAAGAGGCTCAGACCTGCAGCTAATTCTGCCTCAACAAGGAGACAAAAACTATGTGAAGTGAAAAAAGAAGGGGAAAAGAAAAAGAAAAAAAAAAAAAGAAAAGAGGTCTTTGGTCGCGAAGAAACTTATCTATATTTTTTACCATAAAATATCTATTTGCATGAATTCCTTTGACACATGATGATGCCTTTCTTTGTTAGTACAGTATCTCTTTTAGGGTACTACTTATTTAATTATTAAGAATTTGAAAGAAAGCTAATTAATTGCTTTTTTTTTCAAAGTGACTCGACAAAAAACAGAGGAACAAGAGTCGCCCCCTCAAATAAAGTTGTCCACTATTCAGTAAAAGTGGAATTACTTTTTGAATATTTTTTAATTTTGATCAATTCAATTAATTCAATATTCGATCTTAATATTTAAAAGTTTCAATAATTCGGTTCAATTTTCAATTTTTCTAAATGAAATACTATTGAACAAAAAAATTGAATATCTACTTATAAAATAATTTGATTATTTATTTTTATTATTTAAATTATATTATCTCAGAGACTTATTCTTAAACCTAAACTTAATAAAATCGATCAAAATCTACTGGTGTATGTCTTACCTCAAATTCTCATTGGTGAAGAACTTAACTTACTTTTTTTTTTTAAATTTAAAAAAAATCAAAAAATCATTGCATTGGAGATCGACCAACACCTATATGTATATCAATTAGACTTGTAATGGCACATATTTGTGTTGAAACTTCTTGAACAATTAATTAAATTAAAAAGGGTATATCAAAGGAATTTTCATGACCCCACAGAAAGGCAAAATATATGGTGATTAGCAAACAAAGTCTGTCACATTTTGAGGTTAAAAGACCTTCTTATCTTCGTCCTAATCAACCTTTTTTGTTGTTTGCCCAAATGTTGTCTCATGTCCATTGGATATTTGGGCAGCCACTGAAATGCAAATATATATTTGTTAGTAGCAAAAAAGCTTGACACATTTTAGATGAGAGGCTTATCTTTTTCTTAATCAAAACTTTTCTTTATTAGTTGTCTTAGGTTTATTTAGAGGTGGACCCCATTTGCCCTCTTTTCAACCCATCACGTGTCGGGCTAACCTCATATTATGAAATCATGCGTGTCGATTGATTAAAGGCCTAATTTTCAGTTCTCCACCACTTAATACGTCATTGAAAGCCACTAATCACCTCATTTTTCTTCACTAATATCCAGGACTACGTTTTTCTTTTAAATGACAAATATACCCTTCACCCTGACATGGAATCCAGCCATAGCTTGAGAATACTTCACATCACAACTTGTAACAATACCCCATTGGTTGTTCACATTATCAGATTACTTACAACATAAAAATAAATATAAAATACTTTAGGGTTTAAATTCCGTATATTGTCATGTAAAAGTTACTTACAGTAAGATCACAAAAAAGTAAACTACATAACTTTCGTTACTAACGTGGATTTGTGAGCTAGAAAAAATAAAATAATACTCTTAATGGGCGTTTGGACATAAGAATTACTATAAAATTCCAAAAAAAAGGTGTATTTTTTTTTTCAAGTGAAAATGGTATTTGAAATTTAGAGTTGTGTTTGGACATGAATATAATTTTGGGTTGTTTTTGAAGTTTTGTGAATGATTTGAGTGAAAATTTTGATAAACAGCTTTTTGGAGTGTTTCAAATTTTAGAAAATTTCCAAAATGCATCTTCAAGTGAAAATAAAAATTTTATGAACAAACGCTGATTTCGGAAAAAAGTAAATATTTTTTTATGTCCAAACGGGCTCTTAGTAGTTATTATTTATTTTGTCAGTATACATAACACAAATCATTATAGTAAATTTGGGTTCATAATATGTAAAAGAGGATAAGTTAGAAATTTTATTGGTTAATGTAATTAGTAGTGTAAAAAAAATTGATTTTCTGTGTAAAACTTAAATCCGTCCTCGTATATGTACCATATAAAAGGAGGAGGAGAGAGGGTATAGAGCTAACTCTGAATTAAGCTAACAAATATCCAGCCGTATACCATATAAAAGAAGATGGGGGGAGAGGGGACTAGCCAAATCTTAAATTAAACAATCCAATTTCCAGCTGATTCTCTGTATTTTTGTACCACAAACAAACTACACACCATTTCTCTCTGCTAAATATGAAAGCAGAAATTTTGTACTACCGTTCATCAAGTTTGTACTCTTCTTCTTGTTATTAGGAGTATTATTATTGTAATTCAGCAACTGGCTTTGATCAAAATAGAATAAAAGGAAATTGATCTTTTTATTCTAAGTTAATGGAGAGTACAGATTCATCAAGCGGCTCTCATCAGCAGCCTCAGCTTCCACCTGGCTTCCGTTTTCACCCTACAGATGAAGAACTCGTCGTTCACTACCTCAAGAAGAAAGCTGCTTCTGTTCCTCTTCCCGTTGCTATTATCGCTGAAGTTGATCTTTACAAATTTGATCCCTGGGAACTCCCTGGTATATATTTATTGGTTTATGGAAAATTTTGATATTTGGAGCTTTGATTAATGTTTGAGGTGTTTTTAATTCTGATTGTAGCTAAGGCGACGTTTGGAGAACAAGAATGGTATTTTTTCAGTCCAAGGGATAGGAAGTATCCAAATGGGGCGAGGCCAAACAGAGCGGCAACTTCTGGTTACTGGAAAGCTACCGGAACAGATAAGCCGGTGCTCACCGCCGGTGGAACTCAAAAAGTGGGTGTTAAAAAAGCACTGGTTTTCTATGGAGGTAAACCTCCTAAAGGAGTGAAAACCAATTGGATCATGCATGAATATAGACTTGCTGATAATAAACCAAATAACAAGCCCCCTGGTTGTGACGTTGCCAATAAAAAATCCTTAAGGGTAAGTATCTTTCATTTTTATTTCCAGTCAATTCTGTAGTTTAATTTATAGAACTTCTGCTGAATTACATATGTGGCTATGACTCCACTTGCAAATATTGATGTCAGTATCCGCAAGTTGAAGTTTGGCTATCAACATTTGCAAATAGTACTAAACTTTGGCCATCAATATTTGCAAAAACTGAATTTTAGTACGTACTTGAAAATATTTCTAGGTGAAATATTGAAAAACGTACGTATTCGAAGAATATTTCAAGTGGAATAGTAAAAAATTTACTCACAAAATCTAACGTTTCTTCCAAGTGAAATTCATGTCTAAATACAAATATTTCGAATACTTTTGTTCAACTTAAATTTCAAATTAAATTCTCTTTTTTAGCAGATGAAACCAAAGTATTCCTTTTTGTTATGATCACAAAACTTAAGAGTGAATCCATTGGTAAGGATGTACGTACCTAATAGCCGCCTCACACATGGCCGAATCTAATTAACAAATTAAAAAGTAAAAGCTTAAAGAGAATTGACTTTTTTTGAAAGTAATACTTAGTAGTATTTGATTGGGATTGACTCATGAAAGCTTTATTTTTGTTTTTGGTGTGCAGCTAGATGATTGGGTATTATGTAGGATTTACAAGAAGAACAATACTCAGAGGCCAATAGAACAGGAGAGGGACGATTTAAATGATATAATGGGATCATCAATTCCAGCAACATGCATACCAAATAACTCAATGTCAATATTTGGTCAACCAAAAGCTAATTCCAACTATACTACATTGCTCGAAACTCATGACCAGAATATATATGATCAAGGTATGCAATTTTCTTCAAAGTCGTCGACACAATTTCCAGTTAATGTACTCAGTACAAGCTCAAGTGTCCTCCCTTCAAAACGGTCGCTAAATGGTTTATATTGGAACGAAGAAGCAGCAGCTAATGATAATTCCCAATCTACAAAAAGGTTTTTAGCCGAGAATATTAATAATATGGACGATGGTTTAAGCATGAATGTGAGATCAGATCATGAACAGAATGGCTCTATTGCAAGTCTTTTGAGTCAACTTCCTCAAACTCCGTCACTTCAACAACAACAACAACAACAAATTCTGCAGGGGTCTCTTAGTGATGGAGTTTTTCGACAACCTTATTCGGGGATGAACTGGTATTCTTAATTAGACATCAAAAAAAGTTAGTGTGAATCATATTACTTATACAATATTACATACAGGATCCGCTAACTAATTATTGTCACAGAATTTTCGCAGAATACAAACGAGGGTGTTAATTAGATTAGTGGGATTGCTGGATTATTTGGGTATTGAGTTTTTTTGTTGGTAGCTAAGAAATTTAAAAAAGACAGAAATTTTAGATGATTTACAGTTTACTTTGGGGAGCGATTGAGTCTGTGTAAGCAAAATTAAAAGCTTAGGTGAGGCCATGTATATTTTTGCTTTAACTGTCTGTCTTTATAGTATATAATATACATTAAAAATCCATACACCTCCAAGGTTTGACTGTGAATATATAGCTAGAGATGCATAGAAACAAATCTTGTAATCTTCCTGTAGAGAATTACAACATATATGTATTTGATATTATATTGGGAAAAAAATATATTCTGCACATAATATTCCATATTGTAGTTGTGCTTTGTCTATCACCTCCATATATCATGAGCTTCTCATTGTTCTGCATTTTTTATTTTATTTTTTGCTTTGTTTATTTTTACCTCTAAACTAACTATCAGAACGAAAAGTTTACCCGCGGGTAACAAAATTAATTACTTTTCTTGCAGTAACTTTTTTAAGATTCCCAAAACCCTAAATGGTAAAGCTCGACTGGATTTGTATATCGTTAGTTATAAGCTCAGTGGGAGATAGAGTAATATTTAGTAGAGCTATAATTATGTGATAGACGTAAGGTAGGTTGTTAATATTGATAAAGAATTGGTTTTTCATTTTCCAAAAGCATAGAGTAGTATTAAGCAGTGAAATTTGTTATCTTAGAAGAAAAGAAATCCTGTTAAGGGAAAAGATAAGAATCATTAGTTGTTGTGGAAAGCTGAGTAGTAAATAGTGACATATATATTCTAGAGGGATCATACATACATGATACAACTAGAACATTATTGCATACATGACATGATTATTGATATAATTATTTATGGGTGGAATCAAACAACTAGATAATCTCATTGACTGCGGACCATTATTATATTGGGTACAATTTAAGTACTCTTTTATTAATCAGTTTTGCTTTCTAATGCATACCCTTCACAAAGAATTTACATAAGAGAAAAGAAAAGACTATCCAAAAGAAAAACACATTAATTCCCTTTTCCATTAAATTTGCAAGATTTTCTTTTTTATGGTGATATTAGAGTCAACTTGTACACTAAGTACTTGTCCAACAAGATGTCAAGTGCGTTTATATCTCTATTGAAATTTGAACCTTTATTTTGTAATAAGATTTGTACCCACTTTAATGACTTACACTTGTAGGTCGTCGCGTTCTTCGAACCTTTAACATGATATAAAGATTAAGGAGCTTTGCTTTTTGCATTTAGGAGAAAATTAATTAATTGAGAAAATAAAATTAGAAGCACTCATGGCAATTAGAATAGGAAATTCCATCATAATTTGTCTCGGTATACTATCAGCAATGTATTTTTATCTCTGCAGGAATTTGAACCTTTATTTTCAAAGGTTTTTACCCACATTAGTGACTTACACTGCTAGGCTATCACGCTTTTCGATCGAGCTTTTGACATGATATACAAATTATGGAGATTTGCTTTTGCATTTAATTAGGAGAAAATTAAATTAGAAGCACTCATGGCAATTAGATTAGGAAATTCCACCATATTTTGTCTCGATATACTTGGGACGTCATACTTTTTTCTTGATTATATCTACCTTCATTTTCTTGGATTAGACATGGGCAAAGTATATTCCAATAGCCATAGGTCCTCACATATTGACAACAAGATGCTACCTCACAATTACCTTTCTTTCTTTGCTGACTCTGGACCATCTCGTTATCATCAAAGGGGAATCATTATCTCCAAACCATAATCTTTTCTTTTTCTTTTTTTTAATTATCGTTTAATTAATTGCATTTCCTTTCAAGGGAAACATAACAAAACTACTTTAAAAAGATTTCATTTCACTACTACTTATTTTAGCAACACATAATGCGGAGGATCCAAATGCATGTATTTAGAATCATGGCTACACATCATCTACGAAATCGATAGAGATGCTTATTGCATACAAGTGTGAACATACGTATATTTATTTATCTTTTTACATGACGTAAGTTTAACGAAATACCTAATTTTTATCTTTCTTTTCAACAGCAATTTACTTTCAAGTATTTCCACATTCCAAAAATACGTTGTAGCATACGTATGAATAGGTATTGTCAAGTTACCAAAATAAAATATTATACATCCTTACTTGCTCGATTAAAATAGTCCAGCTACCTCTTTTTCAAAACCATTCATAACAACGACTTAGAGGTTAACAAATCTTATCTCTAGGGTAAAAAATGGAAGTTCATGAACTAAATTTCTTTTATCAGCAAAAACAAAAAAGGAATTTAAAAAATGGTTTTTGAAGCTTATTTGCTGGAAAGGGATGGTCAGTATGAATTTGGGTACCCGTTTGAATTTATGTCTTCAATTAATATGTTGAATTTTTGTTGAGTCACAGTTTAGTAGAGATTAACATAAGAAGATGGCCCACTTGAAATGATAATACAATGTCATCTTTCTCCACCGATTTTTAGTGATTTTGAGTGAATGCACTATCTTGATAGATATATATGGCATATACCTCCAAAAAAAGGAGGTCTATGACAATTTATAATTACTAAGCTTATGACCAAAGATTAAGCAAATCATAATTGCGAGAAAACTGATTGATTGGACCCCTAAAACAGTTATTGTATACCCCTGGCATTGTAATAAATGCCACTCTCTTTGACAACAAAAGAAATGGTTGTATTCATAAGCATAAGGTCAGCACATCTAATTTTCAGTTTAAATTCGAATATTGTTTTCCTAATTTTTTTAAAGCTACATGAAAGTTTTATATATTATAATTTTTTTACTTATTAGTTAAGTAAAAAAAATTATTTTCCAAACAATTGTAGTGTCTTTTTTGTCCGTTTCTGAAAAGATGGGGTATTTGCGTTGGTGCGTAGTGGTAATGTAGTCGCTTCAAACGACGCCAGATTTACTCCCCAGATTTCATAACGTAGGGAATAGCTTTTTGGATCAGATTGGGCAGTTTCATTTTTCAGAAATCTGGTTTCTTGTTTCCTGGAATTTAGCTTATTCAGCCTCATTGATTCTGTTTTCTGCTTTTTGATTTTCATGATTACAATTTTTTCGTTTATCAGTGTTGAAGACAAATATCTGTCTTACTACTTCACAGAAGACAAACTCCAGTTAGAAAAAAAAATTCATAACTATAAACTTCATTTTTTCACCAACATTAATTGATGGCAACATGGAAGATTCGGCGTTGGGAAGAAACTTCAAATATATTAGAGGCTGTTGTAATGATTATCCAAGACGTGAGGGCTGTAGTATAATTTCAAAAACTGGAGGTGAAATTTGATATTTAACATAACACTAGGGAGGAGAGCTCAATGTAATTTTAGTGGTTGGCCAATTTAAAGATTTAATCTGCCTCCTTTGTTTCTTGAACTACCAATAGAAATTAAATTGTGAAGAGATGCAGAATATCTTGAACTGGTGCTCGCCCAAACATTGCTCCTCAATCATTCTCTATTTCTTGCGGGTTTAGAAATGAGAAAGAAAAAGCTCCAGTAAATGTAACAATAAATAGTCGCTCGTATTCACTGTTTACACCAAACGCAAAGAAAAAGCTCCAGTAAATGTAACAATAAATAGTCACTCGTATTCACTGTTTACACCAAACGCATTTTATTTACTTTTTCACATATTTTTATCACTCAATCATGGTTAATTAACACACTCCTACCTCAACTGACTACTTTACCTGAGCATGTTAATAACATTTGATGAAAACACCAAGTTCGGTAGATCTTTTTCAGAAGTAATATTGGACATTCAGGTATTTGATCTCAAGTGCGAGAAGCACGTCCAGATCGTTATACAAACTCGACTGATGGTCGATTCTACTACTTTATTTATGAGAGAAATTCTAAACAGGTTTATTATAGAGCTAAGGTGAAGAAATCGAAGATTTTTACATGTTGGCATCAGGCATGGACGAATCACAACTGGGCTAGTATTGATGAAAAAGAAAATAAAGATAGTCCTAGCCCTAGGTGCTCTCTTTACATGGTAAATGCCTAAATGTTAATGCAAGAGAAGAACAAATGAAGCATCAGGCTTGAACCACCAGTTCCATTTATTCATACTTTATGATCCTTCAAGACAGTCAATATAATGCTATAAGCTACTATAAGTTATTATTATGTTATAATAAGCTACACTTCTAATTTGCAAGTTCCTGCTGAAACTTCAGCATGAGCATCAGAGTTCAATTGCACTTTTTACATTTCAAACTACAAAAGAATTTGTGTACTTACACAGAGAAAGGGGCGCTATGTGCAGTATGCACGTATCATAAACAAGTATCTCAGAGGATGTTTTCTGAGAGTACGGTACAGCAAGTATCTGCAGCTTTATCACCTCAAACCTATACATTACCCCATTAATGGTCCTCTCAATGAAGACGCTGCTGCATGTTAAGGTTGTTTATACTTCCTCACATCTTTATCCTGCATCTGCTCTTACATTCATTTACTCCTACAGCACACATCAAATTCAGGTACCATGTCAATACAATTTCACCATACATCTACAGCTCAGGAATCTTATGAGCAAGTTAGTTTACATACCTGAGGTGGGCCTATTGAGGGAGGTTGCATTTCTGCTTCCACTGATGCCTCGGAGACTCTAGCTTCTGATTTCTCATTTGAATAACTAACCAAACAAAAAAAAAAGAAATGAAGTTAGAATATGATGCTTTTCTCTGGTAACATCTGCATTTGTTCTGTTATCAAAGTTTGAAATACTTCAGGGAACTAAAGGTAGGTCCTGCTTATTGGACAGTCAAAACACAATCCAAGTAGTAATAGCATAGAGATTAAACATTCAATAGGAAATCTGATTCACCTAGCTGTCAGCCAGGGTGCACAATTTCCCTGTATGAAAATACTAAAGCGGAGTGATTGATTGGACGTAACCTAAGAGCTACCTGCCCCCAAAATGGTCGTGGACAACCTCCTTCGTTGAAAAAAAGGGAAACTTTTGGGAGTTAGCATACCATATATTAAAAGACTACAATCGGACCACCATCAATTTCCTTAACCAATGATGTTTTGAGAAAGATAAGCTTCAATGATAAACCATTTTGGCAACATTAGCTACCTCGAAAAGTATAGTATTTAATCATTCATGTCAGCATGCTTATAGTGCTTCCGAAATTCAGTCCTTGAACATCATGCACCAGAAAAGTAAAAAAATTGTGATTCAGATTTTGGAATGCTTACGTTGAGAGTATTGTCACCCAAATAAGTTCTACACAGTCGACCCAAAGAAGCCTTTGTTCAACCGGGACTACACCATATGTAATAA